GGGGGGGGGGGGGGCGAGAGGCCACTGACTTTGGTGCGTGGCAAGCTTCACACAATCTCCATCGTCATTTCTGCCTGCACTCGGCGGCAACAGCGAGTGTACTTCTGATGCACTCTGTCAGCTTGATCCTCAAGACTCTCAGCAATGCACAGTCTTTTCCACGGCTGGGCACGGAAGGACCTGCCAGAGTATTGCAAATGTTGGATTGTACGGGGGTCTACGTGAGTCTACGCAAGACACTTCTGCTGCATCAGCGGCGTCAGCGGAGGCTCATCTTCTGCACGATGCTGGCTTTCCGCTTGCTCTCCCTTCGACAGCTCCAGGAGGCTTTCGGTTTTTGGGAAAGGGCAGTGTTCTTGTGGTGTTGGAGATGTGCCCTCGAGGCATCCGGTCTTGGTTCGGGATACAGGTAAACGCAGACGAAGGCAGGCAAGATCAGGCAAGCTGTGAGAGTGCCCACGAAGTGGTTGTTCCAATACTCTCTGTGAGAGCGGCGGGGCGCTTCAGTTGCTTCCCCCGCCGACCTCTTTAGCCCCCCTCCGAAACAAAGAAACTGGAAGAGTCCTGCTGGAGTTGAAATAATGATGTGAGATAGCGTTGCAGGTGTCGTCAAACGGGTCTGAGGCACTCCTGTTCTGAGTGAGAACAGCACGTGAGTTTGCATCGTGAGGACAGGTGGCTAGGTTTTGGGCATACCTGCAGTGGACCGGACCGTGATGCATCGGCTGAATTAGGTTGTCATGATGGGTTCGAGGGTGTTCCCTCATGCCCGACATAAGGAGAATCACGAGAAGAGAGGAAGCAAAGGGAGCGAGAGACTCCGAGCGTGAGCGGGGTGGAGCTGCAAAATGGAAGCCGCGCGGAGTTTGCCAGGACTTCGTCCCAAGCCACTTCAGCTTCCTGCTCCGAGCGCCTTCGGTGCCGGTCTACGAGAACCCTCTGCACGACTGGCTCCCGAACAAGAGCTGGGCCCGGTAGCCCAGAGCTGGGCGGCAGAGCCCAGAGCCTCCCCCATGAATCCTCCCCTTTCCTTTCCTTTCTTCTTTTTTTCTTGAGGCCATGGTCCTGAAGTTGGTGGAACTCGAAGGCTTTGAGAACTTCGCGCCCGGCTGCCCGGGAAGGAGAGAGAGAGAGGGAGCCGTAGCTGCGTCTGCGAGCCGAACCCCCCCAAAGCGTGAACGGTTTCCGAGGCAGAACATGGAGCGCGACGCTCCCAACCGCCCCCTGGCAGCAGCCAACGCAGTGCCCATCAGCAGACGCCGACGCGTGTTTTGTCCGCTCGCGAAGTGCTCCGGACCCGAGGCTTCCGGGATTGGATGGCCGAACCGGCCCCGGAGGAGCACCGGCCGAAGCCTGTGATGCTGCGCGGCCCCTTTTCGGCGGCTTCTGCTGGTCACCGCAGGATGCCAAGCTGCCGCTGGATTGGAAGACGCTGGACGCAAAATACTTTCGGCAGCTCGGCTGTGCTTGGATGTGCAGTCGCGCGTCTTTTCTAGTCGCCGCTGGCCGAAAACAAAGCCCCCCGTACCAGCCGAGGAAGTTGCCCGCGGCTCAACGCCAGCATCTGCAACAAAAAGACTCGGCTGCTTCCTCCGCTGTCTCAGGCTGGTCATCCGCTGTCTTCGGCCGGACCGGATGTCCATCGCGCTGGCCAAGTGGATAAGGCACATGGCGCTGAGGGGCAGCAGTGAGCACAGTTCCAACTGAGCCTCTACCTTCAGGCAGACCCTTCCAAGCGGCAGAGATTACATCGACTGCGATGCATCGCTGTCTTTCTACAAGGCTTTGGCCAGGTAAGCTCTGTTTCCAAGAAGTCGTTGACACATCTTCCAGGTGCTCCAGTCGTCTTATGAGGACGCGCCGGTTCTTGAGCGCACAGTACACGTAGCTGTCTCTAGCACCGTTGCTTTGAGGCGCTGCCCGGGAGCGTAGGTGAATTGGCATCTCGAAGTCGCTGGTGTTGTTGCAGGCATGCGCATTTCAGGCGATGTTCAGGTCGCGGATCTCCGCAAGTTGGATACGTGTGCGGGCAGTGCGAGTGCACTGAGGGCAGACGTTAGCATGGCTCGGTGCCGCTGCCGAACCCTCCGGCTCCCGCTCTTCTGCAGGACTCCACCAGCAACACACCATTCTTCTTCATTCTGTCGCCGGGGGCAGATCCCGTCAAAGAGGTGGGGGGAGAAGCGAGAGAGAGAGCGATGGAGAGAGTCTGGTCAAGGTCGGCAAGTATTCAATATTGGCATGCTGTCATCATGGAGTAGTTGTTTGGAGCCTTGTTGCCGAGTGAAGTTTATGGGCCTGTTGGGCGGATCATTGCCGTTTCTCGTGGTGCGCCTGCAACACTTTGACACCCGCAACTGTCGGGGGGCATGGCGATACTACTTTACTCCTCAAATCCTTGAAAGCATGCTTGAACCATTTGTTTTTCCCGAAAAACATTGTATTCCGACGCACTCTCCAGAACGTTAATTTGCAATGGCAGCTCTCCGCATGGTCACAGGCACCGCTTGTAACAAATATGCCATTGTACTCACACCGCACTAGGCCTAGCATCACGCTGCCCACGGGCTCGCCACGCGTTGGAGACGTTTTTGCCGCTAGTGTCGTCGTTAGGTTCGCATGTGCCAGAGCACAGAAGCCTTCGCGGGGTGCCTTGATGCCGAGAGAACGGCTCGTGACCGAGAGCGGGGAGAGGAGAGCGGAACTGTGGAACCGGGAAGTGAAGGGAGGGACTTAGGCCTTTAGGGAGAGGGGAAGGCAGACCGGGTGAGGGGAATAGGCATGGAAAGGCTCAACTTGCCAGGTGGAAGCCCTGGGCAAGGTCCTGATTGGCTTGCAGGCCAACGTGAACTACCACAATGTCGCCATGGGCCAGGGGCAGGTGGGGACACTGGCTACTGAGTGCAAGAAGGAAATTGCAGACATGCTGATAGGATGAGATCGCCATGCAAAAGCTGGAGTTAGGATCCAAAGAGGGACATTGGGCGCCTGCCTCAGCACTGTGCTCAGTAGAGCGGCAAGCTGCCAACCTTCAAGCAAAGGTCATGCTCCAGAATATCCACTTGATGCCCTCCTGGTGTGCCCGTCGCCCAAGAAGACTCTGCAGACTTGTTGTTGCTGTTTCTTCTGCCGTCGCGCACCGAGGCCACGTTGGAGAAGAGGTTGGATGCCTTTGCGGTTGAGCGGGGTCCCAAGAACAGGGGGAAGGCAGGGAGACATCTCTTTGTGGGCTGGCCTCGTATGTCCGACAGGAACAGCAGCCCCTACTTCCGGCTCTTTCTCTCCGCGGACCCCTCGTTGGGAATCCCCATTGGCTTGCTGGAGCGGTCCATCAAGCTCACCAACGAACCGCCCCAGGGCCTCCAGGCCAATTTGAGGCGCGCCGCGCGCGCCTCTTTAGCTGGCTTCTGCTTTCCTGCAGCCTGGAGATTCAGCCGGCGCTCTCCTCTTGCAGGCGCTCCTTCGCTCTCTTCAAGCGGGAGGAGTTCGACGAGCGGGACAGCAAGATCAAGCTGCTTGTCTTGCAAGCATAGGCAGACGTGATGGATCGCAAGATTGCAGCACCTCCAGCCAAGGTCCATCCTGTTTGCTTTGTGCCACTTTCACTCTTTGATGTTGGAGCGGAAGAAGTTTGGGGCCTTGGGCTACAACATGCTCGGATCTCGGAGTGTTGCTGCGCTGATTCCTGGGACTGAGCGACCTGAGCATCCGGAGCCCCCCAGGAAGTACCCGTTCTCGAACGGCGATCTTCGCGACTCGGCCTCCGTTCTCTACAACTACTTGGAGGTGGGTGCTCAAAACCGTTCCCGTCCCTTTCCCCTGGCCACCTGATGCCACCTGCCCCATGATGAGGGCTCCACGGCGGTGAAGATCCCGTGGGAGGACCTGAGATATATCTTTGGGGAGATCATGTACGGAGGCCAGAACCTGGAGAAACAACGAAGCATCCCTCCCGCTGCTGACTCTGCGCAGGGCACATTGTTGACGACTGGGACCGCAGGATGTGCCAGAAGTATCTGACGTACTTCATGCAGGACTTGCAGTTGCCGGGGGCGGGGGGGGGCCGTGGGGGGCCGTCGGGGTCACGGGCCTTCGGGGCCTTCGGAAGGACGAGATCTTGGACGAGATGGAGCTTGTTCCCTACGCCGGGAGTCCCAGATCGGGCGCGTTTCCGGCTCTGCCGGCTGCGGCTCAAAGCCCTTCTCAGGCTGATGGGCAGCTCAGCTGGAAGTCTCCCGGCCCCGGAACGCACGAGAAATACCTGGAGCACATCGCTCCTCGCCACTGATCAGGGCCGATCAGGGCTGTCATCATGCTCACCTGCTGCTCATGCTCTGTTTTCCTCAGGAGACGATGCCGGCGGAGTCGCCCTTGTTCTTTGGGATGCACCCCAACGCGGAGATCGACTTCCGCACGAAGATGCCGGGAGCCGGGAAGGGAGCGGGAGCGGCGTGGCCCAACTGTGGCCCCCGTTGCAGCAGAGGTGCGAGACCATCTTCGAGCTCCTGCAGCTGATTCAGCCCAAACGCAGCCCGGGAGAGGCCCCAAAAGGGACAAGAGCAGGGCTGAGAGAGTCCGTCTGAGACCTTGCACGGCCCTGGCCCCCCGGCCGCCGGACGCAGGCTGCTGAGGAGCAGTCGCCCATGGCCGCTGCCCCGAGCTCGGAAAGCCTCAGGGACAGCGGTGACAGCATGCCAGGCATCCGCCGGCTCGACATGAGCTCTCTTTCGCTGAGGCTGAAGAGATGTGCAACGAGATTCTGGATGAGGCGGTGAGCTCGGGCGGCGACCCACGAAATGGCCTAGAACACGTATGAAAAAGTCTGGTACTGTTCTCGCTCAGTTCCATGCCCAGGTTCGAGAGGTTCGATTCAACGTCGAGGTGCCTTGTCCCGCCACGGCATCCTGAGCGTCCTCAAAGCATTGCAAAGCATTGCAAAGCAGCCCCAAATGCTTGCGCCTGATCCGGGGGGATCAGTTCGTGGGGAGGAGATCTCTGGGCAGCTGAGCGAGGAGGACCGAGCGCACAAACGGACAAACAGGCAGAAACAGCTGAAATATCCTTTAGGCATTTTGGAAGCAGCCGGCCCACTTGGTTGACAAGCGCTTGAGCGATGCCATATCTGAACTTGTAGCAGCACAGCCAGCAATGCCTTTAAAGCGGGATCTCGAATTCAGAGGTTGGCCTCGGTTTATACGCGTGACTCATACTCGCTCCTGATCGTGTGAGGAGCGAGGGCCGTACCAGTTCGTGATGATGCAGGCATCGCTGCACGCACATTTGCGCACCCCTCTTCCAGAAGCGGGCCCACTGATGCCAGGAGTGCGATTGCATGAACTGTCTGGTTCAGGAAATGGCCTGAGCCTCGGCCAGCGGGCAGAAGGGGGGGCAGCGGCACATGCCCCGCATGCCAGGTGCGGGGGCTCAACGAGCTGCAGCAAGGATTCAAAGGAGAGCTGACCATGTGCGAACACATGGAGCAGCTAGCGGAGGCAAATGCACGCTCAAAGCAAAGCGGCCGCTCCTCCTCGCTCCGCTCTCTCGCTCCGGCTCCGTGGGAGGCCTTAGCGGAGCAGATCTTGCCTGTCTGGTGGGTGAAGCTGGGCTTCCCCTCCACGCGGCCCCTGAGGCGGTTGCGGAGCCTGTATAAGTTATATAAGTATGCCTATAAGTATGCCTAAGTTTCAGCAACTGCACGGGAGGTCTTGGCTGGTGAACCTCAAGGACCGCTGTGCGCAGCTGGAGGATTGGTCGGCCGAGCCCATCCACATCCCCAAGGCGCTGGGCCCGCGCTGATGGCGCCGCTGATGGCTCTCCTTTCCTTTCTCGAGGTGGTGGACGTCTCCAAGCTCTTCAACCCGCAGAGCTTCCTCACGGCCATCAAGCAAGTCTGCGCGGCCCCCAGTTGCCGCTGCCGCCCCCCACAAGAAAGGGGCCCTCGAAGCAACCGCGCAGGCTGCCAGAGCGTGAACCTGGAGCTGGACCGCCTGCACGTCTTTACCGAGGCGCGCGGCGAGACCCCCGCTGTCAGGTTGGGCTAGCAGGCTGGAGCTCTCTCTCCCCTCCTGTGTTGCAGAGGTCACGAAGCGCTTGGACCCAAAGATGGTCGACAGCCTGGCGCGCGAAGGGGCCTACGTCACCGGCATGTGCCCCCTCCCCCCGCAGGCATCCACCTGCGATATGCCCAGCTTCTGTGGTCATGTGGTGGTCACGTGTGCCCAAATGGTGTCGCTGACTGGAGGTACCTCGAGGGTGCTCGCTGGGATGCGAACGCCAACTGCTTGGAGGAACCCGCGGGGGAACCGCCAGAGTCTGCAGGAAGTCTGTCCCTGACGACGGCTCTAGAAGGCTCTCAACTCTCAAACCTGAAAAGGCTGACGACTTCTTCCCTTTACGCAGTGAGTAATCATAGCAGCTGCTTTCGCTACACTTTGCATTATTATGGCATGCGCAGGCTCATGAGGTGCAAAGTTGGTCGTATTGATGCGAGGATTCGCGACCGAAGGACATGTTCACACGGCTGCCGGTGATCAATTGCAAGGCGACGTCTGAATGTCGCAATCGAGTGCGCAAGAGTCGAGCAGAGTCGAAGTCGCGTTGATGATCTGTTCGAGGCCGGCTTGCAACAGGAGAAGGAAGACAAGAACATGTACATGTGCCCCACCTACTGCGTGCCGACACGCAGGCGTAATTGGAGTTCGATAAGCAGCGCAGCTGCCATGCCTGCCAGCCATGCTTGTAAGAGGCCACACTTCGTCTTCGTGGCCCAGCTGAGAACAAAGCAACCTGCCGCCAAGTGGGTCTTGGCGGGGGTGGCGATCATCCTCGACATCGGCCAGCGGTCTCAGAGGGATTTGCGCTTTCCGGGGCAGCTGCAGCAGCGTCTGTGACACCAGGAAGCTAGCGAGCGCTAGCGACCGCAACAACGCTGACACTGAAAATGCTCCCGGCTCGAGCCCAGTCGCAAAATTCGCGAGTGGTGTAGAGAAGCCAAGCTGGTCGGCAGTGGCGCAAAAGACGCCACAGCCGTGCACAGTTTGTACAGTGCAAAAAAAAAATGGAGCTTCACAACTCCCAGGACGGGCCGCGCCGCACCGGTGTCCGGGTCTCACGCCCGCGCTCCCAAACTCTGGAGAGGGGGCACCGCATGCGGCCGAACCAAAGCGTGAACTCGGGTCGACGCATGTGTGCAAGAAAGTTATAGAGTCTATAGAGACGCCTTGAGGTGGCTTTTGAAGGGACGGGGTGGGCCTACAGTATCTGTCGCGAGGCTCGCCACGCTCATGCCATGGCAGTGTACCGCTTTGCAAAGGGCGAGGTGCGGCCGGTTGCTTCTTTTGCCTCAGGCAGGGCCGGCAGGGCTGGGGTGGAGTTTCGCACTCGCAGGCTTCGAACGACGCGCTCTCAGACAGTCTGGGCGAGGACGGGATGAACCCGTCAGCAAAGTGTGGGAAGCCTAGCGGCCTAGCCAAGTGCATTGGAGGACTCCCTTCGGAGAGCGGCTCGGATCGAGTACGCCATCAAGGTCGGCCGTGCGAGTCTGGGCGAGTCTTTTGCCGGAGCTCCATCCTTGAAGAGGCGGCCGCCAGTGCCTCGGTGGATCCGAATCATCCGGAGCTGTTGAAGGCCTGGCAGCCAGTGCCTCGGAACTGCCCGCAAGTCTGATGAGCAAGTGGGTCTGAGCCGTGAGCTGAGGCTGGCATACGACTTGCGCGCGCACCGAGCCTTCCGGCAAGAGCCCATGAGCAGCCATGAGGGGGCAAAAATGTGCCTATAGGCAGCAGAAGGAGATGTGGGCAGGTACTGCTTGAACCTGATGAAGTCCATTGAGCCAGTGCTGGGCTCTGTCGGGAGCCGAAACGCCGTGGAAGCAGAGAGAGAGAGAGGGAGCTTGTGGCATTCGCGTCGGACCGAGGCGGGGCAGGTGGCCAACGAGATCGATCAGGCCGAGTTACGCGGGCTGCGTGGTGGGGGGCGGCTTGCTCCCTCTCTCTGCGAGAGGTGGTGCAGGAGGCCTCGGAGGTGTATGGAGTGCCCAAGGAGCGCCTCTTTGGGTCTGCAGCTGCAGCAGCTCACTCTCGCACAGAGTCGCGCTCCGCTCTCTTTTAGTGAGGACCACAAGTGGATGGAGGAAGCGCGGCGGCTGGTCCTGCAGGCGCCGTCGGAGAGAAGCAGCGAAGAGCGGACGCGCGAAGCCGCTGCCACCTCCGAAGAGCGTCACTCTGTCACCCAACAGCGTGCAGGCTCGATCCGAAGAGGCCAAGGTGAAGCGAAAGGAGGATGCTGCGAGGAGAGGAAAAAAGTCGTCTGCGCCTCGACACCTCGCGAAGTCTGAAGAATGCCTGACGTAACCAAAGACAACGTTCACGAAATACTTGATCAGGTGAACTGGGGGCCCCCCCAGTACTCCTCAAACGAGGAGCTTCAAGTGGACCCTGCATCTCTTAAGGAGACGCCTCCCACAAAAGGAAGGAGCACTTGTGCGAGTCATTGCGTGATGCTGGTCAGTCAACACAGTTTCACTGAATGTGCCCCTGGCAAGTTCATTCATTCAGCGTTTGGCTCAGAGGTTTTGGTGCAAGAGGCTGCTTGGGCTGTAGTGTGACAGCTCAGCACACGTAGGCAGCAGAGCGCCGACACTCGCGCGCGCCGCGCGTGTGCCCATCACACACCAGACCTTCAGCAGGTGGCGCTGCTCGAACCTATACCTCTCCGTCGCAGCGTGCTTTCAGCTGGCGCCTGCTTTTTCTGTCTGCAGGCTGGCCGAAGGCCGCGACCGACCCAGCCGCGGTGGTGATGGGAAAGAAGGACTCCGAGAGAACCACAGACAGAACCGCTCTCAGCGTCTGCGCCCTTCCTCTGCGCGCAAGACTTCGCCGCGCAGCGCAGGACCGGCGTCGGCGCCGGAGCAGCTCCAGCCCTCCGCGGAAGAAGGAGGAGAAGACCGAGAAGAAGAGGAGGAAGTCCTCCTCCGAGCGGCCCAAGAAAGAAGGCCCCGGCCCCGGAGCTTTTGAGTCTTAGCTTCCAGAGCCGGCTCTCGCGGCTTTGAGGTACGAAGGCGGAAGCTTCGGACTCGGAAGCTCCCGTGGCGAAGCTCATCCCGGCCGCTCAAGTCAAGGCCAAGGAGGCCGAGAGCTTCGCCGCCAGGGCCTCGGGTCTCTCCCCCCCTCTTCTTCTCTTGTTTAAAGTTTAAAATATCTCTCCCTCTCTCTTTTTGAAGTTGTCTCCTTTCCCCATCTTAGGCGCAGCTGGATGTACCGCTGGTGGTCAGCGGCTGCGTCAACAAGACCATCAGCGAGATCGTGAAGGGAACCTACTTTCGGCACGGCACCAATCATGGCAAGCCGGTCTACAAGAAGAAGCCAGACGACACACCAGATGACGATGATGACCTAGATGTGCTCATATACTACTGGGATGAGCGGGATGGTGAAGAGAACTGCGGTTGGTGGTTCAGTCCCAGTGTGGGCGGCGAGATGGTTTGGGCATATCACCCAAGTCGCAAGGCGCGGGCATGGTGCATATAGTACTGAGGTGAAATTGTCAGCACATAATTAGGTGCGTGAGGGTTTCGATCTGCAGGCGACATCGCCGCCACCTGCGGAGTGGAACGTGCCCCACGACGGGCCCATTGACAAGAGCTTCACAGTGACAGCTGCCCCCCAGCTTGCCAAAGAGAGCCAAAGGAGCCTGAAAAAGGAAGAGGCGAAAGACAAGAAAGATGAGGATGATGATGATGAGGAGGAGGAAGAGGAAGAGGAGGAGGAAGAGGTAGACGAGGAAGTATCGCGACCCAAAGCGGCGCCTCTTTCGAAAGACGATGGCTCCTCGGACAGCGATGCTCGCGCACGTTCAAGGAAGCCGAAGGACTCGAAGGACTTGACGGCTGAGGAGCGAGAGCTGGAGTTGCAGGAGGCGGAGGACCGGCGGCTGATGGAGCAGCTTCGTCAGAGGGAAGAGGCCCGCAAGAAGAAGGCAGAAGAACTGCGGATGCGGAAGGAGCAGGACAAGGAACCGGACCGGAGAGGTGACGACAAAGAGGACAAGAAGAAGAAGAAGCGTCCGGAAAAGGAGAAGAAGAAGGACAAGGAGGAAAAACGGAAGAGGGAGGAAGAGGAGAGAGAGCGCCTCCGCAAGGATCGGGAGCGAGAGCAGCGAGAGGAGGAGGAAAGGCGACGGAAAGAAGAGGAAAGGCGGCGACGAAAGGAGGAGGAGGACCGGCGCTTGAAGGAAGAAGAGGACCGCCGAAGAAAGAGAGAGGAGGAGCGGCGTGAAGAAGAGGAGCGCGAGCGACGTCGGCGAAAGGAGGAGGAACGCAGAGAAGAGGAGGAGCGGGAAGAAAGAAGACGCCGGAAAGAGGAAGAAGAGCGGAGGAGGCGCAGAGAAGAGGAGGATCGTCGCAGAAGGGAAGAAGAAGAGGCCGAACGACGACGCGAGGAGGAGCGCCGGCGGAAGCGAGAAGAGGAAGAAGAGGAGGAACGTAAACGTCGTCGTCTCATTGAGGAGAAGGAGGAAGCCGAACGTGCTCGGCGCAAGGAGAAGGAGAAGGAGGAGCGTCAAAAGAAGGAGGAGGAGCGGCGCAAGCACGAGGAGAAGATGCAGCGGAAGTTGGAGGAGCGCCGGCGTCGCGAGGGCAACGACGAGCGAGATCGCGACCGCGACGGGCGCGACCGCGGCGACCGCGACCGGTCAGACCGCGACGTGCGCGACCGTGACCGAGATCGGTTAGACCGCCGGGAGGACCGCAGAGAGGACCGGCGAGAGGACCGTGACCGCGGTCGTTTAGAGAGGGAAGGAGCTAGCGGCGGCGCCCGGTCGGAGAGCCAGCCGCTTGAGCGGAAAGAGAGGCCGGAAGACAAGCAGCAAAAGGCCGTCCAGGCCGTGACCTCCTGCTTCCACCGGATGTCCGGGGTGAATTTGGGAAATTTCGAGAGCCTGAAGGCGGATTTCGAGCGCATCATGGCTTCGGAGCTTCCGTACACAGGCGACAAGGAGCCCGCCCTGCGAGAGGAAGCCAGCCGAGTGATGACTTCGGCGGAAGAGCAAGTGGCAAAGGAGAAGCTGGCCCTCGAAGAGGAGCAGAAACGCCGTGAGGAGGAGGAGAAGCTGCGGTTGGAGCAAGAGGCAAAAGCAAAGCGACAGCAGGCCGCCAACCTGAATGTCTTGAAGGCCTTGCAGAAGCTCTCGGACGCCACGCCTGAGAACTGGGCTCAGATGAGCCACGACTTCCAGGAGATCATGCGAACAGAGCTCCCGGAGACCGGGGACCAGCGCGAGGCCCTCCAGGCGGAGGCCGACCGCGTCTTCAACTACGCGCAGCAGTACGTGAAGCAAATGGAGGAGAGGCAGAAGGAGCAAGCGGAAAGAGAGAGGATTCGCCTCGAAGAGCTGAAGGTGAAGGAGCAAAATGCCCGGCAAGTCTTGCAAGAGGTCGAGGCCTGCCTCTGCAAGGCGGAGGAGGAAGCCCAGAAGGCACGAAGCGTCGCAGAGCAGCTTTACCAGCTCGCCAACGGCGCGGGCGGTAGCTCTGCGAGCTCTGGCCGAGATGCCTTAGTGTCCAGCTTCCCGAAGGGTGCCGAGGAGGCTTTGCGTATGGGGAGAGTTTGTTTAGAAGCAGGGAAGGTAGCTCAGCTGGGCGCCGAAGGTGCCTGGAAAGTGCTGGAAGGGCACCGGATGACTTTGCTGGAGCTGGAGACTTTGCGGCAGGAAATGCTGGTCTTCGTGCAGCGCAGCGAGGCGCGGCTTCAGGCCTGTCAGATGGCCGCTCAGCAAGCAGTGAAAGTGGCTTCGGAAAGTCGTGAGCGGATTCAGAACAATGCCTCTCCCATGCTCTGGGACCGGAAGAGCGGCGACATCTTCCGGAGCTACGACCAGGACGAGGACGGCTTCC